CTCAATCTTATTGTCGTGCTCCACTGTGCCGTGTTGTTTTTTTCAGTAAATCGGACACTCCATTGTCCGTCTTAGCAACTAGCCGGCCAGGCGGGTGGGTGAATGGGTGAGCGAACAGAAGAGCAATGGCGAGGGGTGGGGTAGGGGAGGGGGAGGGTGAAAAATAGACCATAAAGACAGAATTAGCAACCCACTTCTACCCCTCGTCTTTCTGTCCCCCCACCCCCTTGACTAGGGTGGAGCAGTGGTAGAGTTCTGCCACTGCCGCCGCCGCCGCTACTCTCCCTCTAGACTGAGCAGTTCTCGCCTCAGTCGGTCAGTCACCCAACCCTGCTTTCATTCAGCCAGACAGTCAGTCGTATGATTTCGTGATTGCGTGATTTATCATCACCACCGTCATTTATCATCTGAAATAACTTGGGTGATGTTTTCTTTTTTTTGAGAAGCTTAAGATTTATGGACTAAAAGCCTAAACTTTAACTGGATGTACTTATTTCGTAGCTATTACCTGACGTTGGAAATTCCGGTTTTCAAATGTTACAGGAACTCGTTTTAATGGAGGCAGCTTTATACCACAAATCGTAGACTACTGATTGAAACAGTCCTCCGAGGTTATTGCAATAGCGACATCCTCTAAACAGTCTGCTGCACTAAAACTGACATCAATTGTAGGCCTGACAACGAAAGCTGTCCCATGGGCAGGAGTTGAATGGGAGCTCCCATTTTGGCGCAGCGCCAGAGCAGGAAGTGAAAAATTAGGGCGTTGGCTATAGAGACTGTGAGAGGGGAGGAGGGTGAGAAAGGGAGAGGATATTGTTGTGCCATTTGTTCGCGTCTGCCTGCAGACATGCATGGAAGACGACTGTAATAATGTGTCAGCACAGTATCCTAGGGCGACTGATTGCGGACCTCGGTGTCGACAATCAAAGTAGCTATGTTGGACGCCATCCTCTCAAGATGCTGACGAACTTGGCAGTCCACTGGTGGCTCTGCGGAATGTTGTCCCATCGATGTGTTCCCTGCTTCAAACTATGAGGGGTGTGTTATTAACTTGTGTCTCCATGTCCGCCCCCTGTCTTAGCTCTATGAATAGCCCATCTGTTTATTCTAGCTTATTGACAAGTTCACTGCCCGCGTCACACGCCTGACACGTGCTTTTCAGCAGGCTATGGCAACTGCTTGTATTAAATCGTGTCACTAACACATCGGACGTAAGGTGCTCCCGATCTGAGGGCATTTGAACAGATGGAACGTATCCTTTGAGGGCTGTGGCGGCTGATGCCCCTCTGAAACCTCTATAGTGGACGCGTCAAACTTGTCACTTTGTCATCAATGCTCCAGTTATGCTCCTAAGTAGTTTAAGGTGGGTGTGCCCGCTACTTTCACCACCGATATGGAAACTTAGTTTGGGTCAATTTTCAAGGTTCAAATAATTTTCAGAGGGGAACTCTGCACTCGAACCGTCGTTACTCCTTGACACCTCTTTTCCTCCCTGCCTTCAGTTTTTGCGTCGATTAGTTCTGCCATGGTTCTCATCGTTACTAGAAAGTGTTGATAAATAGCTCCGAAAATTCCACATGAAAGGGATTAATTATACGACCGAATTTGTCACAACTATTAACTCTGGACATTCACAACTGCTAGCAGGAAGGAGAGCTGTCAACGCTGAATGAGGTGAGTGCTTTAAAAGAACCCGAAATTGTGTATTTTACTGTCTTGGAATGGCATCTCTTTTGGCAGAGATCCCGGGAGGCGATGCTAGAGTACCAAACGCTTCCTCCCCAAACTCCAAAACACCGTTTTTCTTTCGGTGTAGGATACAATGACTGCCATTGGCTGCCTCTACCCAACATTTCTATCTTGTGGTTTACTTTCTTTCTGTAAGGAATTGTAGAAGTCGTTAACCTATCTTAGGACGGAGGGTGCTTTATCATTTTCTCAAACTTCACGGGAACCGGTGCTGGGAAGTAAAGTATCCCAGAAATGGCGGTTTTTTCTAATGTTAGCTGCCTACGCTTAGCCTGAGTTTTGATATTTCCTAGTCATGAAAGTAAGTTGTCAGTCACGACAGGGACAAGGCCAAAAATGGAATGAATAATCTTAAGGCTCTAGCCTTCCGTCGTTGGTGGGCTAGACGGCTGCTAGGATTGCGTGTCACCGAGACTAGGTGGCAGCCTCCTTAGGACATCACGAAAGGGACACTTTATTTCCGACCAAAAATTGTATGCTGTCATCTTCTCCCTTTGGAATGTCGAACTCTGGGAAGGACCCTAGAGGTCAACATCCATTTCCTTCCCTGAAACTGGTCGAATAAGAGTTTTACATTCGGATATTGTCGAATCATCTTGTTCTCCTCGTGACAGTACAACTTAGAAAGCCTCTCTTACTGTGGGAAAGAAACCGCCCTTCCGAACCCCGGTGGCCATATTTTGTTTTTGATGGTGAGAGGAGAAAACAAGTTGAGTCATCCCTCCTCGTAGAGTCCTGACCCCATTAAGGCCCCCCGAGGTCGGTGTCAGTTTCCTTTTTAAACGACTTCAGTGTCCTATTTGATGAAGCTGGCTGAGATTGCTTCATGCGCCTAAATTTGGTCGGTCTTGGTTTGGCAGGAGAAGGTTTCTCAATTTTTAAATAAGTGAAACACACCGCTTTCTCGAAGTCTCAAAATGAATTCTTTTTTTGTCTTTTCAATCACCACTTTAGGCACTCTGACCTTGTCCGTCCGTGATCGTGAGGTGGACGCCACTACCTCGCATGCCACCGACACGGTGAAGCACTACCGCGTAAAGCAGTTCGGTGGCGGCGGCGGTGGTTTCTACATCTCCACAAAACGTGGTTTTCCCAGCCTGCGTGACCTCGTAGAGCACTATTCAGCAGAGGCAGATGGTCTTTGTCGACGCCTAACTCGTGCCTGCCCTCGACCTCCTCCCCTGACCACTGACCTCTCGGTGCAGACGAAGGACCACTGGGAGATTCCTCGAACCTCAATCACTCTGTTACAACGTCTTGGTGCGGGACAGTTTGGAGAGGTTTGGAAAGGTATCTCAATCCATCCGTGCTGTATTTTCTGTTCTGAGGGCTTGTGATTTGCACTTTGCCGATTTAATGGTTTTCGAATGTACGCAGATTAATGTTGGATTGATGGGTAGGGGGTTATATTTGGTAATTTACTCTTGGAGGAGCCATTTTGATAGAGCCCAGAGTGACTCTTACTCATCCAGTCGTCTCCGATCCATCCTTAGAAGCATTCATTCCCTTGTCTCCACTTCTGTCCATCCATCCATGCGCTTCCGATCCATCTACCTATTAGATGAGGGTCTCCTTGACAGTCATTTGGTAGGAGAGCCAAGTCCGCAAGACAGTGGAATCTTCGCCATATGCATCCACCAATCTATCCACTCAACCTGAATACATCAATCATTGTGTTCATCCATCCATCCGGCCAAGATATCTCAATTTATTCATCCTTGGCCTTCGTATCTATTCATCCATCCATCCATCTCACCTATGCCCGTCTATTCACTGTGGCTCTATTAATCCCGAATCCCGAATACCTCACACTGACTAAACCTATCTTTAAATCTCAACCGGGCATTCGGAATTAAGCGCAACTTTTGGTGGTCGGAAAAACGAAAGTATTGCTTCCTCATCCCTTATTTATTGTTACTTTTTTTAATTCTGTGTTCAGGCCTCACTTCGTTTCGTTTTGTAGCGGAGGCAAGTGATTTGATCAGACACGCAAGCTCAAGCACCACATATACACGCATTAACGAAGGTAGCGATAAGACTAATGCCCGCTCGTTCGTTCGGTCGTTCGCACACACACACATTCCGGGCAACTGAGCTAACGCCACAATTGAGTTACCGCTCTTGCCGGCCGGCCGGTTGCTCTGTTGACTCGCTGGGTTGGGCGGGTAGGTGGTTGGGTGGAGTGCAATTTGCCACCAGTGATGGTAGTGGTGGTGATGGTTATGGTCCACTCCGAGCGAGGACTCAGTGACTCCGTGATCGTAAAAGCAGTTGAGTTGTAGATACCCATTTAAGGCCGGCTTTGACTCTGCCGCCCCAATGATTTGTGTTTCACATTTTATTTTCCCCCAATCTATTAGACGAGCTTTATAAGGGCAATCAGACATGTGGAAATGAGGTGAAAAAGGGTGTTACATTGGGCAGGTTGATCTGCTGACAGGTTTGCCTTTTATAATAAGCCATGGTGGTCCAAAGTGGTGGAGTTAGCTGGAGGCTGGTTGTACCGTGATTAATAAATCAGTCCATCACATTTTTTTAAGTTTGTGAGCCATATTACCTTTCTGACGTCAAGAAACTCCCGAGGATCGTTGACTCCACGGTTGTCAATATCGTTTGCACCCTCTGGCTAGAGAATGTACCTTAGCCGCAAAACGAAAAGATGGAAGCATTTGGCACATGAATCACTGTAGATTGGTCGGTTGATTAAGGTATAGCGCCCCTTCTGGCTGTATTGTGATCACAAATGACCCTCGTGGAATGTGAGAACTGAGACCAAGGAGGTGGATATTGAATTGGATGACGCATGCGATCTTTTTGGGAACAAATCAGCAAGGTAAGGAAGCTTTCTGGGGGTGGCTTGGATGGACAGGTTCCACTCCTGACGAGCATATAGTAGTTCCGAAGTTAGTCATTCATCCATCCTACCTCGTCATTGTGGGCATTCTGGCCATGGTACTCAAAGAGGGAGATTGTTCGGGTTTTTTTACCATGGTTAGAGAAGCTTGCTTTCCACAAGTAGGAACAAGCTGTGTCTCCTCTGCGCCAGTGTCACCATCATGCAAACTTCACTAAGGAGTTTAATGCTTTCGGAGGATCTTTCACCACCTGGTAGAGGAGGGGAAGACGCCTTCTTCCTCACATGCAAGAGTCTACGCTGAAAATGCTGAATATTTGAACGCTTCCGTTGGGCTTTTTGTAGCGCGGTGGGCGGTGTTTGGTGTCCTTACTTTTTGAAAGGCATCCCTCCGCGATGATGGCAATAAAATTGACTTCAATTAGTTCTGTGAAGGTGGACAAACCTGTACATTCCGTGTCGCATATTCTTCCTTTCCACTTTACTACCATTTTAATTCTACTTGGCTGCTTTCAGTATGGTTTGGTAGCAATATGTTGTTCGAATGTTGTTTATTTCTCGGAGTTCTCCAACTCTGCTCGGTTACTGACCACGGTGCAGAGTAGGTTTGAAATGACGGGGTACCGTCGATATTCTGGCGATCCAGGACCTAATAGTTTGATACCGAAATCAACCTTTGCCCTCATTAGAATCGTAGAGACAATTATATGGTAGGCAACGTTGCAAAACTTCGATTTGATTTTGACCAGACAGTCGGCAAGGTGGCAGTTTGACCTATTTTACACCGAAATTTCGGCCACTAAGTGGTTCTTTCGACCACCGCTATGAAAGGTCGAAAGAGAATAACATCCATGAAAATGGGTAATGCTTATCACCAAAAAGCTTCCAAAATCACCCGAGGAGAACAGCGCGGCGGTCATCGCCTTTCGCTAACCTCCACCCCCCTCTTCTCCTTCCTCCGTCCCTTCTTTCCCATCCCTGACATCTTGACGACGACGGAAACGAAGAAAATTTCTCACATAGTATACTCTTGTGCGCGTGTTTTTGTTTACTTCACAATTTCGTCCAGTCACTCCCTTTTGCTTTTACTCACACACACATATCCACCCGTGCGTACCCATATAGGAATGGAAGATGCGTCACGATGATCGCACCCCACATTGCACACCGGCACCACACTGTCCCTGCGTCATATGTGGTGAAGTGACGTGGAATAGAATCGTCTGTAGACCCCTCAGTAGTCGGTTTAATTAATTGTTGTTTGACGTGATGGCTCTTCACTTTTGACCGCTTCCAAGGCGATGGCTCCGGACCACTGATTAAAGATAGAGAAAGTTGCCGGGAGTTGAGAGGCCTGGAAACTGACATCAACTTGCTGGGTTCCTACCAAATCATAGGGCATGCATCTCTTATCTCCCTTCTAGTGATGGCTTGGCTTTTTGCCCCTCTGCTTTTGTCCATCCCTCTCAAAACAATACTTTCGAACCGAAAGAGAGATTGGGAGGTTGAATATGGAACTCCGCTAAAATACCGAAGAGACCAACCATCTTACCTTCTTTACCTCCAGAGGAAAAGTGATTCTGTAATTTGGTGAAAGGACAAGAAATCATGATATTAGTGGTAGCTTGTCAGGCCTCTTTTCATGCTACCACCTTGGTGTCAAAATTCCCGCCGCTATTTACTCGGTTGATGTGAGATTCCATTTGAAAGGGTAGGGTCTTTCTGACGCCTTACACTTCAAGCTTTGGCAACGATGAACCGTTTCTTTTTCCCGCCTCTGTAAAACACACCTCCAGCAGTTGTTTGTGGTGTGGCTGTGTATGTACGTGTGTGAGAGAGAGAGGGGAAGGAGGGCTGGGTAGACTGCTGCATACCGCACGGCAGCTGACTTGCATATTCAACGACAACATCGACAACACTGAGAAGTGAATAGGCGAGCGAGAGAAAGCAGGAGCTATATCAGGCTCGTTGCACATTTACACACTCGCGCACATCCCAGGCGCAAGAGCGATGCTATCTCTCCCGGCTGGGCGAGAAGGCGGGCGAGTGAGATCACAGAAAGCAAACGGGACCTTTTAAAGAGCCTGAGTAATACACACCCACCCTCCTTTCCGGTTTTATTTGCTTCCAGTGAAGTTTCGGTGCGTTTATTACTCTCATCTGCCTGCCTTGAAGGGTTTGACCTCGATTATCCCTCCCGAATACGTTGTTTGGGTGTGTTCGCTCCTATAACTAAGGTTGATCGTGAGACAGGCTTTAGCGTTATGCCTCGAGACTTCCTAACGGGAAAAGAAGACACAATTCTCGGGCGGGATATGTATTGCCGAAATACAGAGTGGCTTTTGGAGCTACTGGAATGGCCAGGAGTTGGGTCGTCCGGCAAGGGTATGCTGGCGGAGCCTCTATGTTGTCCGTGACCATACCATAAGTTGAGAAAACAATTAACGTATTGAACAGCTCATTTCCCTTTTTAAGCGTCGTCTCCAACACTCTCTTTGGTTATTTCATTTGGATCAGAGGAATATTCTTCAAGACCAACCGGACAGGGGTCGCATTCTCGCCCAGTTAGCCGTGAGGTTAAACTGAGCTAAATCTTGATGTGAAAGTGTCGACTCCTTTGAATTCTTAAAAGATGGGTGTGACATTTTGAAAAGAAAGGCCTCATCGTACCCACCTGGCCATCTCGATGTCACAATTTTCGTCCCCTAGACCAGCTATTAGTCTCATTATCTCCTCATGGTGAACAGTTGTTCCTGACATCTGATTCGATTATTCAGTTTCACCTGATCGGAGAAAATGCGCTTCAAAGTAGAGTGTGGAAGACTTATCGTCTTACTCCGCACGTAAGCTCATCTTAACACCAGCCCTGGAAATGTTCTTTGTCTCTTCTCCTCTTCTGTCTCCTCCTGTCCCCTTCCACGTCGTTAGTCTGACTCAGGCACAATGTGGAGTGGGGTGCGGAGGTGAGGAGAGGGGAGGGCACAACGTCGAGATAGGAAAGGAGCCACACAGTGGCAGACACGAAGCATCCACATGCGTGAGTGACTCAGGGGATGTGCCACCACTACGACTGCAACCCGTTTATCACGCAGTGTGACCACGTGGTTGGGGTGATTCTAACCACTCCAAACACGCCAACCACGCAACGTCTTGTAGACGGTTCTCCAACTGGATATTGATACCCTACAGGTGGTAGTCGATGTCATTTTAGGCATTCAAGAGTTAAAACTTGATTAACTGAACAATCACATGTGAGATGGATGGTTCGTAAGAGAGAGATGAAAGTAGGAGGTGCCTAAGGCTTGCTTTTGTCACGTTTTCTACGCGCAACGTCTTCGATTCTTGTAACCTATGCCAACTCCAGCATTCTTCCTGCTATTTAAAGGTGCCTCAGTACTTTTAAACGATCACATTCCGATTGCTTAAGTGTGTCCAAAAAAAATGGAATGCCTTCGTGCAAATGAAAGGCGAAAGTGTGGAATACCGTTGGGACCCTTTTTTGTCATTGGAGGTGTGACGGAGAGATGTCGGTAAGGTGAGCCTCAACCCCCATCTGAAGCGCGTGGCAGAACAAAAAGAAGCGCGTGATTTTAGGCATTTTAATGAGTGCGTTGTTTGTTTCCTGCATTATGTTGGGAGGAAAGCGAGGAGGCGATAGCATCGTACACCGCTCGTGCCTTTACGACTCTTTGTGTGTGTGTGCATGCAGTGCGCATGCAACGAACATGCGAAGCGCGTGCAACATCTCGCCCTCTCACCCACACACCCACAAACACCCATCCGCCTTCTCATTTCACCCGGTATGTGTGTGTGCGTGCGTGTGTGTCGCCGTCTTCGTCAAATGAGGTGTGAGTCAGCACAGGTGCAGGGTGGATGACACGATGCTGTGGTGTGGGTAATAATTTCGGTCAATTTCTTCAACCCAGCCCAGTCCCCGTCCCCCTCGGTTCCCAATCGCTGGAGTAGAAGACGAAAGGTGTTTTCTTGATAGTGTCTAAGTGTTTCACCATCTTCACTTTACAAAAGGCAATGCTGATGACTTGACTCCTTCGTCATTAGTCCTTCAAGGTCATCTTCAACTGCTTCGTTGAAGTCTTTCCTAGGAGAAATTGATTGTTTTTCCGTCCCTGGAAGCTTTTACTGTCTCCCATTTCAGCTAGAGGAAGGGGACGTTCGTTTTCATTCCATACTTTTCCATCACCTCGAAGAGTCTCCTGAAGTAAAACTGGGGTGCGGTAATTTCGACATACTCCCACACGGGACACGGATCACAGGAGGTGACAGAGAGAAATGATGTATAGGTCTCAACGCATACTTCAATGCGACGGATCCTCGATACTGTTGGTCCGCGCGTCCCTTGATAAATCTTTCAGTTGCTTCTCGGAAGTCTTTCTGCTACAAAACTGATGCTTTCGAAAGAGGCGGAGAGGATACAATCAGCCTGGAGATATGTAGGCCTCGGCGCTTATCTACCACTCTTGATCTGGGATTGAAATGCTCGGTAAAACCATCCAATGGTACACATAAAATCGTTTGCTGAGCGTCTGTGGAAAAGACGTCACTTGACGACACAAGATTGACGGAATTGAATCCGAAAGCCTCCCAGAGGCTTCTCCCGAAGCCCCATGGAACCTCCCGCCTTCGCTACCAATGAAGTGATTTCCGCGGTTCATTCGTAGAGGAGTTGGATAGGAAGGAGAGGAGGTTATGTCGAATGGATAGAATTAAATGCTACAGGTGTTTTATTTTTTTTGTCGACTTATCCGGGGTTTTTAAATCCTCAGTATATTCTCCGACCTTTACTTTAATGTGATATTTTCAGTTTAAGCATCTCCAGAGGCACATGAAATTCCTTGCTGAATGTCCATTTCATGAAAAATACTGTGCTAAATATCTACAGTCGGAATAGCTTGCTTCATTGCTTCAAATAGCGTTAGAATGTTTATCACAAAGCCCTGGAATCTCTGTCATCACAACACCACTATCGCCGACGCACTGTGTTCTCATCTACCGGCTGTAACCTCTGGTATGCCTCCACGGTGGTCAGTAGGCGGGTGGGAGGAGGCCAAACGGCGTGCATTTCCAATCCTCTCGATCATGTAACACCAACAGCTGACGCCCCACTGAAGAGGGGGCGCACGCACAATCGATCCTTTTTTCCGAGGGGAGGAAGGGAAACGTTTTACAGCCACCTTCCCTCTCGCTTGTCTGTCCGTTCCGCTAAGACCGGGTTAACCACCACTGCTGATACTAATCCTCATGACGTTATTTTGTGGTCGCCCGTCTAGTGACTCTACCAGATTTGACCGGGATGCAACACCACCAGCCCCGTCTAGATGCACAATGGCAACCAGTTGGCTGTTTGATGCCGATTTTCCGATCTTTTTTCGTGATGATGCGCCAGCTATTCTTCTAAATCCTAGTGGAATGGATCTCTACTACTCCTGCCTGAAGGTGGAGTGGTAAACAAACCTCTGCGAGTCTTGAACAGTTGACACTTTTCGCCAGATGTTTGTAGCGTTGTCACTTGGTATGTCACGAGATTGCTATAGTGTTGAGCTTCTTCGTCTCTGCCTGAATAAACGACGGTTACCGCTTTCAGGAGGTTCTATTGTTCTGATGTCTCGCCGATTGTCTTCCTTAGCTAAAATCCGATGGAATTATTTCCAGGTCAAGAAGTCTTCAACCAGCCTGTTCGCAATATGAATTAGTGCAATCAGTTACCATGAATCGAGTGGACACGCGTGTCACGTATTTGTGACGCCAGAATAAGTTTAGAAAGTTGAGGTCAACATTTCAAAAATCGGTTTTGCAATCTGAATTTTCGTGTCGTTGTTTAAATATGTTTTTCTGTTGGCCTTGGCTGGTTATGCAGTACAGAGGTAAAGGTAAACAATGAAGCATCTTTTTTCCGTCTGTTTACAGATACTTATTACTCCATTTTTTCCCCATTTTGACAACTCGGCTTGAGTTTACCGTCGCCTTTATTTCACTTTCGGCGTTTAGATAGGCGGATGCTGAATCCTCGACACTCCATCAGTACTGGCTGACGGGTGGCTGGTTGCTCTTCGTTTGGTTGACTGGCTGACTAGTCGATTTTTTTTGTCGTTGCGGTGTCGTGCCGCTGGAGCGTCTGTTCTAGTCTCAAGTGAACTTGAATAATCCAGATGTCATGAAATAAGACATTTATACCATCAAAGACAATGATGATTTATTTTCACTTCTTTAACTGTTGGAACAGTTGAAGACTTTGAAGGTTCAGCTGGATTTACCGAGGCTTTGGGATGAAATAATTGGGGGCATGCACGACCGGTGAAGGTCATCGTCCACTCATTCGGCTTAATTTACTTATTCCCGCCGAATTCACTTGTCCATTCATCCAAATGCGACTCATCACTTGATACCTTTTCATTTATCTCTGGCCGCTCGATGTAGGCTGCCTGATCCTTCTTTTTACTTCCCGCAGATGTTGTAACCCACCGAACAGATGACTTTCTTCCTTGTTGGATTGTTTGAAGCATCATTAGTCTAGCAGCCTAAGTTGTGGGGTGAGCAGGGCTTGATGTCGCCGCAAGAAAAAATCCGTATGTGTTCTTCCACTCCTTGCAGCCACGTGGAACGGAACAACAGAGGTGGCAGTGAAAATGCTGAAGCCGGGCGCTATGTCGACGGAGGAGTTTCTCAAGGAGGCGCGCATCATGAAGGCAGCGCGGCACCCACGGTTGGTGCGTCTCTACGCAGTGTGCGTGGAGGATCCCATCTACATCGTCACCGAGCTGATGCCCCATGGTAGTCTCCTCTACTTCCTCCGTGATGGTCCTGGACGCCATCTCACCCTCCGACCGCTAATCGACATGATGGCGCAGGTGAGTCAGGGTTGGATTTTCCAAGTTTATCACCGTTTCCAACATTTCTTTTGGCGGACTTTTCATTTCCTCAACCGCCTCTTGTTTCATGAGACCATTTTTTGTTTTCACCATCGCTGTATCGCCTCCGCCAGGGATTACGCGCCTAAGCTTCAGTTCAGCTGTTAAGGTATCAACATCCCTCTATCATCAGGACGGTTTTGTGTGTTGAAATGCCAAACGCACATTCTTTAACCAACGTCACAATTATGGCCACCTCGTCTTCCCCTTACCCTCAATTGATGTCTCCAAGCCTGGTAAAGGTGGACCTAGCAACGGGTCGGAACAGTTGTTTTGCGCACCCAGACACGCCGTTAATGTGCGGTTCGGTTCGCTACGGTACAGTGTCTGGACATGGTACAGTGTCCATTCACTGTCATCATCCGACCGACACCTAGGGCTGATGGGAGTGGTCGTGGTGGTAGGGGGGTGGGGGGGCTGATAGCTACGATCATAGAAGTCTATTCGGTTTTAGCCGCCCCTTGTCCCTCCCCTCATCTCCCTTGCAGACGTCAGAAAATGGAGGAGTCGAGACAAGAGTTCATTATAAATGCGTACTGGACGGGATGGATGGAACTCCATGCTACCGAGATAGTAACCAAAGTCAGCAACGATAGGAAAGCTTCTGTAGCTAAAAGTGCAAGTTAAACGGAAAATTCTCCGCCACGCAGGTAATTGATGGGTTGGGAATGCTCCCCTCCAGCGAAACCAATCTACCTCAATACGGTCCCCCTTCGTTTCGATTTACCGAACTTTACATTCATCCACATCGATTATGTGCCGTCTCTTTCCACTGTTTCAGGACGGAGTTCATCGCCTTTTACGTCCACTCTACTCTGTCTTTCTTTCACACTCGTTCACCTAGTCAATCGTCCTCTTTTACTTCTCATTCCGTTGAACAGATCGCTAGCGGAATGGCCTACCTAGAACGCGAGCGCTACATCCATCGTGACTTGGCGGCACGGAATATCCTAGTGGGCGAGAACAACGCCGTGAAGATTGCGGACTTTGGACTGGCGCGGATGGTCGTGGAGGAGCGCTATGAGACGTATGTGGCACAAAATGGTACCAAGCTGCCCATCAAATGGACGGCCCCGGAGGCTGCACTCTCAGGACGCTTCACGGTGAAGTCGGATGTCTGGTCTTTCGGCATTGTCCTCTACGAGATTATCACCCACGGCCAGGTATCGGTGATTTTTCAGCAACCAACTGAGCCCTCGGTAGTGAAGTAGAGGAACCTGTCTGACTAACCAGTTGGAGATCGATGGTTGGATGGGTGTATCGTTGAAAGGATGAATGCGTGGGTAAATGAATGAAAGTTCGGGCGGACAGATTGGAGGTTCTACGCATAGACTTTTAGATGGATGGACGGGTGAGTGGTTGGATGGGTGGATGATTAGTGGATAAATTGCTGAATAGATAACTGGGTGGATGTATGAGTGAATTTTAAAGTGTTGACGGAGGGATGGTTGGATGAATGGTTGAATAAATGGGTGGATGGATGGATGGTTGGATAGACGGATGAATGTCTGTTCCTGTGAGTGGATGAACAGTTTGATTGATGAATTCAGAATCCCATCATGCTCTCCTAATTTCCTCCTTCTACCCAATGTTCAGGTGCCCTATCCCTCTATGAACAACACCGAGACTCTAAACCAAGTGAGCTCCGGGTATCGTATGCCTCGTCCATCTGCTTGTCCCGAGGGTGTCTACGAGGTGATGCTTCAGACGTGGGATGCCACGCCGGAGCGTCGACCGACCTTCGAGTACCTGTGCGCCTACTTCGAGGAGTACTTCGTTGCCTCCGAACCCACCGGCTATCATCAGCGAGACCATCGCAATGCCACCATCACTAACGAACCCTCTCCAGGAGGTCTCTTGCGTCCACGACATCTGGACGAGGGAGTTGTAGAGGCTGTCGAAAAATTGGATGGGGTGGAAGATATAGACGCCGATACAGTGGCGGGAGGTGGAAAGGAGGAAGAGGAGGAAGATCTGGATGCAGAGATCATAAATTTGGCAAGAACTGGGACGGAATTCCATCATCACCACCATCAACGGAACCATCACAGCCACACTCACCGTCCCTCGCACAACGATGCCCCGACTCCAATGGCTGTGGTGTGAGCAAGCCCTCTAAGGAGGGATGTAAAAAAAAGAGGAAAGTGAAGTGGAACGACTATTTTCCATGTGCCATTATTTTTCTGTTTGTGTGTATTCTCCATCACTCTCGCGTGTGTTCTCTTGTATTTAATCCTACCACCATCACTACTTCCACCAACTCCAAACAGCTCTCATGACATTTGATCGACTAAAAGTTGGAATTGATTTTTATCGGGGTCGCTCTGTTACAGTCTGGACGGGGTTGCAAGGACTTTGTGGCGTGGCTCAGTTCCCATTCTTGGAAGCAATCCCAGTTCTTCTGTTGGTGGATCTCCGAAGACCGGATTTCTTTCTTCTATGACGCTTTTCGTGGACGGGAACCTCTCTTGGCGAAGTAGTGAACGCTGGCATGGTCTTTGCTGGAGGCAAACAGGTTCTAGGCATACCCCGTAGTGGTTGCTACTCCCGAAGGCACTGCTAGGCAGACGAGTCGGACTGGAAGGTCAGTGGCATAGATAAGGTGGACGGAGATCGAATCATGACAGGCTGCTATGCTCAAGCTCAGTAATGATGTGCAACAGGTGGTTCACCGAAATCTGCAAAGTTCACAAATGCTTCTAGGCCCTGAAGTTTTTTCTTGCTAAAAAATCACTTCATGGGCTCCGTTCTATTCTCTTGAATGCTCTGGAGATGGTTGACTCGGAACGGTAGTCACTGTATCAGTGGTGATTATCTTCCAACTTGCGGATGATGCTTTGATATGGTGTGTTCGCGGAACGGATCGATACTGCTGCGAAGACACCACCTTCAGAAATTAAAAAGGACCGTTGGATGAAAGGAGGGTGTGGCTCACTAATTTACTCAATTTTGCTGATTCAAGCTAGAAGTTCCACTCTTGTAGGCGGTCTCAGACTTGAGGCGAGCCAGGTGCTAAGAGGCGGGTCAGAGGTAAAACCAAGGCGGTGGATGTTGTAGTTATGGTAAGAGCTAGATGTGGTGAAAGGAGGTGGATACAGTTATCCAGTCATCCATCCTGCATTTATCTTTTATCCATCCAGCCGTCCTCCCATTCTGTACCCATCGCATATCCATTCATCCGTCCGTTCATCTATTGTGTGTCTATCCGTATATCCCATCTCCATCCCCCATCCATCCATAATCATCCATTCATCATCTATCCATCCATTCATCCCGCCACCAAACCTCCCTCACCCACCCCGTATCCATCAATTCACTCAACCGTTCCGTTTCCATCCATCCCGCATCATCCAATAATTCCGTATCTATCCATCAATTCATTCTGTCTTTATCCACCCCGCATCCATCCATTTATTTTTTCTCCATCCAAGAAAAGAGTTCGACGTTTATCCAAAATGTGGCAGCACTGGACCGCTTGAAGCAGCTTAAAAGGCCAAGGAATTTGGATGAATTAAGCGAAAACCCACACTTTCCTAGATTCCTTTGTCAGTCGAATTTAGCGCATGGAAGCAAGGAACGATGGAAATTGTGGGGCAATAGCAACGATTATTCAATGCATGTGAGCTAGGCAAAAGTTTATTCACTTGTCAATGTTTTAGGACGCACAAATGCGGGCCTCGAGGCTCCTTTACCGCATCGCATCATAAAATTCTTTAGCATCAATCCAGCACTACTGGATCCTCTTTCAAGACGCAAGGGGATTTCTGTTGTGGTTTAATTACGGTCCTCGGGTCCCTCTTCTAGCCTTCCTTGGTGCCGGTTGTTGACGTAAACTAACCGATATGACTGAAGTGGGGATCCTCTGTGTGATAACAACAACACTTGAGGTGTGACTGATGGCTCCACAACACCCCCACCTTGTTGTTTAGGTCAGCAGAAATTCAGGATAAATCAAGGGGTCCTCCTTTATTATCCTCTGCAGTTATCGCACTGGGAAGCAGCGCTTTTTGTTCCGCTTTTCTTTCCTCCTTGTTACTACCACCGATCGCCGTTGATGCGCAATCACAGGAACGGTCTGCCATATGTTCCGCATCATTTTTCGCCCCTAAAATGCATCCCCTCATGCTGCTACCCTGAAAATGGGGTTTGGTTTTGGATACAGCAGTCGGAGTAAATAATTGCTGATCCGTTTTAATCATCTGGCCAGACTAGTGGGAGGGCGGAAGAGAGTTGGCCAGTGAGGACTTGTCTACCAGACAGCCTTGGTGGGAGCAGTCGTCTACTCTGAAAAGTACACGGACACAGCGTGGGCGGGTGGAGGCGGAAGGCAATGGAAGTGAAATCGATGCGCACACGCGCACTCGTGAGAGTCACCCAACACCCAAACAAAGCTGCAAAAAATCGATGAAATGTACTCAATCCCTAGAGGGTAGAAAGTAGGGGGCTGCAAATCGCTAAAAATCGTTGCCATGACAGCGTTGCTCAACGATGGAATGAACCAACTACAAGAGCACTTAGCATCACCGTGGTTGTGGCGGGTGGGAGGATACTTTCTCCAATTTTCATCCTCTCGTCGCACAAGGCACGAAGTCCACGCAGCATTTTGTGGTAAAAGACAGGCAAGATACTTCACCTCTATTATCTTTTAAACTAGTTTTTGCTATCGTAAAAAACACTGACAGCAGACCAAAAGGATGATAAATGAACATGTCGCCAGCTGAAGGTTTGACCCTTCATGTAGTTGCTTTTCACAGCTTTAACTAGGTTATTATTGTCTGCATTCTAAACACTGACATTTAGCTATAAAATTGCAGTCTAGAAATTGCCATTCCTCCTTTAAATGTTGCTAGGTTCACCACACACCTTTTTAAAACCCTTAGAGTACAAAACTGGAGAAAATCCCCTAAATTCGACCGGCCTTCCCCCAAGCAACATTTTTCTAGGTGTTGCGAGACCACCTCCTTTTTTTACTGAGATTGCGGTATTTTCGATTGAACATTTTTTAATGTTTTTGCTTACAACAAGAAAAAACAAGCCCAAGACACAACAGATAATGTAAAATTTAAATTGAAGAGGAAATGGAGGGGAGTTTAGCTTACCTTGGTTGAAATGGAATTGCGGATGGACAATTGAAATCAATTTTAGCCCCCGCGCGTTAAAAACTTCCAAGTCTGCGCTAATTTTTCATCCCCTATTAACAAATGCATTTTTGTGAGAAGCGCAGTATTTTTATGTAGAGGTATTTTCGCAATGTCTTAATTATTTACGCATTTGGAGTCGTACTACCCCTTTTTTTCAGTCTGCAGTTTCAAGAACCGTGGGACCTTCCTCATGCGGAATGCGATGAAAAAGAGGAAGCGAGAGGAAGCGAACTTTAGTTCTGCTTCAGTTGCTGCTACCTCCATCGCTTGGGAGTGGAAAAAAGTGGGTAATTTTTGGTAAGCCAGTTATAAAAGCATCCATTTGAGGTAGTTTTTCGCACCTACCAACATAAAATGGGTGATTAGTTGGGTTAAATTTATGCACAAAGCTAATTTCGATGGTGACGTTGACTTCAGACCTGCACTCTGTCCGGAATCAAGTGCTACCTACGAACGCTGTGCAGCATTCGATGCCTTCTCGTGGTAGTAACCCCGGGCCGCGATGTGATTGGCTAAGGCCTAAAGTAGAATGAAACCGTCAAGAACCGCCTAAAGTCTTGTAAGTAACTCACTCTGGGCTGCAGGAGGCTTAACTATCCCTCAATTTCAAAGGAGTACGTTTTAATCAATCCAGTTAACCCTGCCAATCCTAGTATAACTGACATTCGGTGTGAATATGCTTTCAAAAGTTATTGGGCGATTTAGTGATGCTATAAATATTGCTCCGAATTCGTTTTTGACTTATGAATGGGCTTTGTAGCGCAGTTACCAAATTGTAGTGCGCTTTGTGGAGTAAACTACTGCCTTGGTATAAGTAGTAAGATTTACCCAGACGCTTACTAGAGTAACCTAAAATTGATTGCGTCATAATCGGTTGGCATATTAGCAGGTGGATTTCGAAACTCACATCATAGAAGCTAATTTGTTTGATCTGACAGGGGTCACATTAATTTTACTAAACAATATTCAGTGAGGAAAAAAATACATATCTTTGCGATCCAATACGCCACAGACTAGTCCCCAGTATCTTTTCCGATTGTACAATTTAGTGAGTTTGGAATCTGTTGTCAAAAATAACTAGAAAAAACATTATTTAATTGCATTGATGGGTAATTTAAAAGTTCCGCTAGCTAGGAATCGTTACTTTGAATGTCATTTACGCGACCTTGAAAGGACAGTTGCGTGCTAGCGTGTGTGTGGCCTTTGTGGACCGCATGCCATCTAGTGTGGTGTCTCACTTTTTTGGCAAACACAATAGTCCTTCGGAAAAAAACAATTTCACTCTTTGAAGAAGCGCTCTAATGTTGTGGACTGGCAGTAGGTCATCCTTTTTCTGCTTTTGAAGGGGACAAAATGGTAAGGCAAATTTGTAATTACCATGGGCTTTGATTTTTCCTACAATTATTAACTTTCCAGCAGTACATTAGCGTGCCTAGATTATTTTACTTTAGTTTAAAGATTGCAGAAAAGCGTTTAGGCTTCCAGCGATTGGCATAATGTCTTAAGCCACAGTTCTTTACAAACACAATTATGAGTTGCTACTGTCCACTTCTATTGTCTTCTTATTTTACTTCGAGTTTAAAATTCCTTTCCATGCCAGGAAAGTTGATGACACTTAGCAGTCCAACCCTGAGATAGTGTTTATGATTTCAGGCTACCTTGTAATGACTTCTACAACTTTTATGAGTGGTTTTTTTGTCGTTGGCGTTCTGCCTCTTCTGAACTTTAATAACAGGCTTCTTTTGGATACCCCCACGCCTTTAAAAGTCTTTAGGAGAATAATTAAAGTGATAAGGTACTGTTTTTAAAGTGCTTTGCCGAAAACTTGGAGAGCACCTTCCCGATTCTGCTGGAGACATGCGGGACAGCGGCGAGCCAATCAGAGATCAGGATTGCTAATTAGCTGGAAAATTGGTTTTTCTGGGAGGTACCACTATCACCCAGAGGCTTGAACATTCCTCCTGGAAAGGGGCCCATTGGCTTGCCTATCCTCAGTATTTGTATGCACAATTTTGTGGAGGAAGAAAAAAGATCTTTAATTTGTTTTTGCCAGAACTTACTAAATTACATCCCCCCCCCCCCCCCTATTTCTCGCATCCTTGATTGCAGGTCTGATGAAATGTAGGAAGGTAATGCTTGCTCCAGCGTATGTTTTTATTCCTCAGTCCTTTTGGTCTTCGTGGGCTGTACTCCCGCTTGGTAACATAGGGATCTAATTTTCCAGGCTCCCAGCCCTTCTGTCGGTTGATAAAAGACCTTCAGGGAGGGATCGGGGCGCTGCAGTTGCGGTATTGCTAAGTCAATTATAGGTTATCCCAAAACAAAACAGAGGATCATAAATTATGGGTGGTATGACAAGACTATACCCGAAATAGCCATACCAGTCGCCAATACACCCTTTGACTCTCTGATTTAAGTGGAAACAACCGGAATGTGGGACGATCATTATGTCGGCTAGGATCTAAATAAAGAAGGCGTCTGGAAGTTGCTAATGGCTCCCTACAGACAAGTGGGTAGAGGCCTAAATAAAACGTCAATACTGGGATTTCTTCCGGTGCTGAAAGAGGAAGGAAGTGGATCAGTGGTGCAAAAAGGCGCCAGAAAAGGTTTTAATGATTACAGTTGTTTTGCAATCCTAATGAAACAAATTTTAAAGCAGCTTTTAGGTGTGGAACGACTTCTAAACTTTTTGTGGTTGCCAGATAGGAAGCTATAACACCACTTTTCCCCACTTCACATTTTTAGGTAGTCTAAGGTAACAAGGAGTAGTGTTTATTTACCTTTTGGGTTATCGGAAGTTACCCTTTAAAATACAAATCACATAAGCAACTACGCGTTCCGCTTTGTTTTGATGTATCACTTTTACTAAATCATGGATTCACACATTCAACGGTGGGGGAGGGGGGAAGGGTGTTTCATGTAGATTTGTCGGCGGAACAAGTCTTTCCACCGCTAACCACGCACCGATCAGAATGACTCATTCAGCGCTATCCAGGATGAGCCAGCCTGCCCTTCCGATTCACAGTACAAAATGCAGGTTATTTAACTAATCAACTTTGGCCGGGGGGGGGGGGGCGGAAGGCTGGGCAAAGGAGATGCAAATGGAGTGTGGCTCTGCTTTTCCTTTCGCACCACCTCGTAGGTCTGGTTACCACGCCAAACAGCCGGGATCAAAGCACTTTGCCGTATAGCACAGCCGAAAGCGGCTTCAGAGTCGCCTCCCCAGACAGTCATAAATTTTGTCCCAGATGTGGGTAATAAAGTGGAACAGAGGAGGACGAGAGAGGGGGAGAGAGGTTGGACTAGTGCTTTAAAAGCACCTTGCGTAACAACATTTCTCACTGCTTCGCTGCTACTACTGTATTTGGCCCCATGCCGACGACCTTGAACAGTAGGGAGGGAGTCTGATTGAGCGGTTAAAATGGCTGTTTGGTTTTGAGGATTGCAACACCTGCCCCATCTGTCTAGCAAATGTTAAAGTGGATAAACTTTTCTTGATCACTCTATCAAAGTTGATGCAACGCTGTTCAAGGTCAAACGATGCGAAGGGGACTTCGGTTGCCATAGTAAGCAGTAGTCCCTTAAATAAATAGAGAAGTGATATTTTGGACAAATATTGCAAAAACCACTCTTCTATGGCACCATACTTTAGTTGACATTGTAAATAGCAGCCATTAAGTCAATTTTTAACTCCAAAGTCCCTTTACTATTGATCTTAGCTGTCAGGGGCACAGGGCTACACTGACATCACCCCTCACGAGTCGATCAATCGACACGGAATGTTGTCAAAGCTACAGCCTGTGTAACCTTTACTCCACCGAGTTTTTTTGCCCACTATGGCATTCACACAATTGCCTGAATCACAAATCAACCTGACCTCAGAAGGGGACACGAGGGAGAGGGGTGGTAGTACACATACACGAAACCTCACAAAGCACCGCAGCATCTCCACTCTACAGTGCTAATTAGCCTCATTCGTTCCCCACGAGCTTTGTGCGCATTTCAAAGGGCACATGAAAGATAATCTGGCCACACAAACAAAAAAAGAGGCTTTTGTAAGCACTATAACCTTGACGCGATTGCCTCGTCCGAGAGAACACGTTTTATGGCTTTACCTGTCTGACGTAAGTAAATAGTACACGGCTGCAAGACAATCTCTCAATTTAAATTACCCCGTGGTTGCATAGCTGAAAATCAAATTTTTTGTTGCTGCTTCCATTAGAAGGCATGGGTGACCTTGAAATAGCCAATGGAAACTCGACTGAATCATAGGATTTTTGGATGGAGAATTTTGTTAGAATATGAATTTATCTAATCAGTTTGTGAGACTTCTAGCCTTAGCAATTGCTGAGGTGGAGTTAACCACTTTTTCACCTAAAATAGTTCATTGATCCCGAAAAAAATAGCTGGGTCTCATTTCCTATTGGTCAGCTGTGTTTGCTGCCATTGGTGGACGCGTGGCCTTGAAGTCAGCCGACAACGCGGAGCCGGGCGAAGGATGTGATTCAGTGTTTGAGTTTGGGGTTAATAGATTTTGTTATCTGGTTTCGCTTCCTCAGTGGGCGTTTTCTCATTTAGACAGTCGATATGATTGCGTCTGGAGGGGTATGTTTATTTTTTCTGTTGCTGCAGCAATGGCTTTTTTTGGAGGTAGCAAAAATAGGAAGGTTTAGAAAAAGACAAAGGCACTTTGTTTCTTTCATAGGGTAGAGGTTGTAAAAAATAACGCTTTTTCGTTTTCCTACCATTACCCCATTAAAGTCTGGTCGATGCATATTTATCGAGTTTGAAACACGTAAACCCGTAGTTTTTCCCCATACGGGTCGTTTTCCACATTCTGATCTGACAATTGTGAAAGCATCAACCCTTCTGAACGAAACCATCACTCATTTCAATTGCTTGCTAAAGTGACCAAGAAGTACTGAGAAGATTTACGCCATTTTCTTGATTTTAGTAGACTTTTAAGTGATTCTGAGGTCCATCTTTTACCAAAGTTGTCATGGGATTTTTAAAATGCCTTCGGGTGAAAATTAACTATAAGAACCAAAGCTTAAATTAACTTTTGAGTTCGAAAATCAACTGACCAATGGTTGTTGTTAAAGAGCTAAGAATATGATTGGGTACAAATTAACGTAAATTCGAAGGGGAAAATTCCTTAGTTTGGCAGAGAGATCCCTCTAATTAGTGTTTGCTTCTCATTTGCTAGCCATTTTTGACAGAAAATCGATATAGTCGATATTGGGACTGCATATTCGCAAAATATGTAGATGATCTCGGTGGTTCCGGGCGAATTGTACACTGTTTTAAAGAAGAGCAGGAGCTATTTGCGATATCGACACAGACTTTCAAAACAATAAACAAGTGATTTGGAGGGTGTCTCACCCTCTGACCACCGCTATAACCACTGCAGCCCTAGCTTAGCGCCCCTAAGCTACCCAGTTCTACAAGTAGCTGAGCAATGGGCATACAGGAGGACTGGGCGACCAGTCGTATGTGTGGTAGCATGAGCAGAGTTTCATTTCACCGTCGTAGAGGAGTTGAAAAAGTCCTCATATTTAAATGTACTAGATGCTCGAAATTGCTGAAAGCATGATTAAGGAGGTAGTATATATTTAGCAAATTTATCCACGACAATCGTAGAGGACTAGGCTTTGAACAATTTCTGTCATCTCCTGAACGAATTTTTTTGACTCATTGAAAATGTAGAACAAAAAGCCTCTTTCTGCCTCTTTTGGCAGCGATTTTTGACTAGTCCAACGATTTGTGTCCACATTACCGAGTTAATGGGCATTCAACCTTAGTTTCAAGAAAAAAAATAATTAAAAAGAAAGATTTTTTGGAAAATTACTGTTAAGTTTAGGTATCTGCGAGGTTTTCATTAGAATAACGAATATATAAGTTATTTTATTTAAGTACAAATGGATCGGACGACCAAACTAGACTAGACTAGGTTAGGCTAGACCATGGGCCGTGACGTGATAGACTAAAAATACTGGTAAAGCTTCCTACGTCCACTTTGCGGTGGGTCCATTACATCCCTTTCAGATTTCCTTTCTCAATGGGAAAAAAAGGGATGCCAAAGTAGCAATAAGGAAGGAATATTCTCTGGTTAAAATAACTTGCGTAGCAACTTACTGAATAGGACTTAAGTAGCATGAGAGTCCCACAAATCTGGTGCCTACCACCATCATAGAGGTAGTATTTCAAGAGCCTGTAAAAAAAGTTCCACAGTGGTAAAATAAACAACTGAAGCGGATGATGTCCTACTGCATAGTTCCCTACCCGTTTTGGACCTTGTTCCCTCCCAGGATCTAACGTGGTTAGTTTTTTTCTCTTCGGCCGTGGCATTACTTCCTGCACCATCAGAAAGAAGGAGTCAATGTGGAAGATATTGTGAAAGTCTAGAAAATGTTCCACAACACGCAAATCCTATGTATCAATCATCATTCTTGCAAAATTTCTCTTTAAAACCAGCGCAGGATTAGTACGTCCTTACAACACCGTCCAAGTCCCTTTCCCCTCTAGAACTTTGGTGTTGGATAAAAATTCTTTTAAAATTAGTGCATCTATGCAGCTGCGCAGGTATATCACTCACATTGCCTCTGGAGAAGGCGTGAGTTGCACGAGTCTGGGAGTTGTTGCATCAAAAGCGCACCACAAGTAGCACTACATTATCATTCATTGACCTGGAAGATAATCGACATTTCGGTATTGATTACCCTTACATGTTCCAAGAAATTTAGTTGATCGACATGGCATGTCAATCATCTTAAACTCAGGAAACTTTTCATTGTCAAGCAACTACCTGAAAAAGGACCTCGACATCTAACTTTTCTTCACGATTACCATATATGATTTGCTATTCAAAGCTCCTCTTCCAATTCTATCCCAAAACTGCTTTACTCTGCATTACTACTCTCAAAATTTAAGCAGGAGATGAAGACCTCTGTAAGAACCAATAAGAGAGAAACAGCTCCACCGGACGACCAATCAGAAGGCAAGACGCCAGGAATGCGTCACCTCTGTGAGCAGTAGTTACTAACTTTAGTAGTAACATAAAAGAAGTTACTCTGGCTCGTTAAATATTAGTACTTTTGCCATTTATCACCACTTGCTTCATAGTGTTGCGTGTCAATAAGGAAGAGTACTGGAGAGAGGATTTAGCTCTCCCTAAATTTTGGGTGGCGGGCAATTTGATTGCAAATTAAGCAAAGTAATCAAATTGCTTCAAGGTTATGGGCTAAGCAAAAAACACCCCAATTTGAGCACCTCCTATCTGACGGTCTGAGTAATTGACTCTGCCTCCGGGAAAGTGCTACTTTTGAATAATTGGCAAAGATGCGTCGGCATGGAAATAATACACCAGCCATTATCGATCTTCAGTGAGGGAAATATATTATTGGTTTTTTAATCAATAAGCAGGTGATTGATGCCTCATTTAAACTCGTGGAACAGTGGCGGGTTGTTCTGTGCAAAAAAACTTGCGAAAAACTTTTAAAGACGTTTTACAAAAGAAATTATCTCTTAATTTGGTGTGGAATAAAAATAATTTTACTGTTGTAATCTCTCTTTTTTCTTTTTAAAAATCAAGGTTTTTTGTCAGTTACGCTGGCTGCGTGACGCATTAACTTCGTCGTGTATATCCTTTTTTTCTAAATCATTTCCTCTCCCCGCGTTTTTGTTTATGAAATAAGTCAGCAAATGATGGCATAATTGGTCAACTAATAAAATGTCCCCCATAGGCACCGAGAGGTTGTCTACCTGCACCTACTAATTATAGTAGGTGTATGTTTTTTGAAGTCTAATGACACTCATTAATTATGGGTGGAACGTAACAACGGATTCTCAGTTAAAAACCCAATCATGCATGTTAATAAAGGGTTTGCCTTTATCCAATTGCCAATCTCCTGAAATATGCAAAGATTATTGAGTATAAATTTATTTTCGTCAGTTAACTGTGGCTAGATATGAGCTGGAATGCACAAATTTATTTTCTTATTTTGCTCTTGCAGGGAAGTTATAAAAATATTTTTATACCTTCCAGAACTCTTTTAGATACTGCATTTCATCGCGCTTGTTAATTATTTTTGTGTCATTTAATATCCGTTTTAGACGAAAAAGTTGATTATGTCACTGACAAGTCATTAATGCAATCAGCTTCAAGGGAGATTAGACACCTGTCAATACTCGAGTTGGCATATTTAATCGATAACAGGGGTAGGCGCGGCAGAATATATCACTCGACTCCTAATTGGCTACCCTAAGTTAGCTAAACCAATCGTAGCAGCCAGCCTTACGCATTCTATTCTTATTGGCTGAGGCAGTTACAGTATTCCAGGGGCTGTGTAGTCACCGCGTAACCTGCTAAATTTAGTACCTGAAGGACGTAAATTTGACAGATGAGTTGCCAGGATTAGTATTCAAGCCATTTTGTAAAGTAGGTTAGCGTCTAACAGGTTAAGAATCTATGTTAACTTTGTGAAATTGACTCGTATTTCGCCATTTGTGTTTTTCATTCTCATCAATTTTATTTCAAATGTGATGCATACGGGGAGTTGGGACTTTGTTAGTGGTATGTGAATTCGTCTGAGTTACCTTATTTAAAAAAGCGAACAAATTGTGGTCAACAAAATGGGTTTCATTGGTTGTTATTAAGGCAGTTTATGAATTAAACGATACTGAAACGCTGAAATAGATTTTTTTGCTCCTGGTGATCTCATTATTTTTAATTTGTAGTAAAATGTTTTACTTAGGTGACGTTTGCTAAGGACGAAGTAGATTGCAGGATATTTTTATGCACGTAGTGGATCCACACGATATGGCTTTTGATTTAAACTGGCCACTCCAATTTCTTTCTTCGAAATGAATTTAATTGGTTGCAACACCAAGTGCCCCATTATAAGATTACATTCTATCACTGGTTTGACTTTCTTTACACATACCAATCCGATTCAATATCAATAAAAAGGGCTTACTGCCAAAGCAATCACATTAACCTCGGTTCAAAGTTGTTCGCGGCTGGTCTTTGTGTTATGATTTTGTAACCCATTGTCTTGTTGCTATAATCTTGCCAACTGGCTTTTTCATAAACAATATTTTTATTAATTTATACTTTGATTTTTCAAAAGTTGGCAGTTTAGGATACCTTTGTTAAAAACCTAAAATTCTGGCCACCATTGACTAATGAAGGAATAAAGTTGCCTCTTTAACTCAAAAGTAGATCCATTTGTTGCCAGCAGGACAAAATATTTCAATGATTAGCTCAATTTTGGAAAAAGTGAAGAGCAGATGTTATACAAATACCCTAATACTATAATTTGCATATTTAATTATTACCCGATCCCAATTTTTTGTCTATCGTATACATGGGGTCATTTTGATTTATCTTCTAAGAAATCACACAAGATTACTGATTACTGTGTCATTCCCTAGTCCTTATTTTAGCCCATTTTTTTCCAGTGGACGCAAAACAACTCTGCCGTGTGGTGAAGAGACAAAAATGATAGAGTCACTTAAGTGGTTTTTGTATTTAGATGAAGTATACAAAACATGATGTGAATTTAGGGACGCACGTCTTAGTGGTTGACTTTGTAGCGGCTAAAAGTACCAAATTTTATCCATTTTTTGACAGATACTATCCACAAGTTGTAGGTGTCTGCTGAATATATCGCTTTTTAAATGTAATTTTTTATAATTTTTAGAATTAAAAAGCCCTCATTAATCAACCTGGCTTAAGTTACATAAAGGAAAAATGCTGGGCCATACAATGGCGAAACTATTTTATTTTACCAGTTTTTTTACTAAACTAAAGAGTTTATGATATTTATCTTTCTTTTATTTAACATTTTGAATAAAATTTAGATGTGAGCGTGGATTGCCTCAAATTTCAAAAATTAAATTACTCCTAAGATTATACGGTAATTCAAATGGCTTTTTTAAAGATATTGTGCAGTAAATTAATTAGCCCATTCATTTGTTAATAGGCCTGAAGTTAATAAACCGAATGGCGATGACAAAGGTGAGATGTATTTAAAAAAGACATTCTCTTTATTCTGTCATGGTATTTGGGTAATTTTAAAAGCGGCTCAACATCACCCCCTTTGACTAAAAATGTCCATATATGATCAATGTATTTATACAGCAAGGGGATGATATTTATTTGGAATTATTTTTAAATAAGCAAAAAAGTTCTAATATTGTACATGGCATACCTGTATAAAGTTGAAGGTCTTCCATAATGTATGCTTGTGAATTTTTTCGAAATAAAATTATACGTAAATGCAAAACACTGCGAACAATCTACTTATTTTAACGAAATGAGTAGCATGCAAAAGAAGCTCTTCTTCCCACATCTAGGTTTTAAGCTGACTTCCAAGAATTATTCAAATTGTCTTCAATTGCCCGTAATCGAACTGCTCCCCGGATCTCCCGGACCTTCGCCTATGCTACTGACCGCGCTTCACTCCGCCTCGTTTCATTGGTTCAAGTGGTTTAGCACGCATCTCTAATTGGTTCGCCCGATGACGCAATCACGCGCCTGCGATTGGCTGGCATTTGCGCGGCCTGCGAGGAGCGGCGTATTTAAGGCGGTGCACTGCAGAGTGAGCGGATCATGAGTGAGGCTGGACAATGCCACACGGAGGCGACAAACAAACGCTCTGGGCTACTGACTACCCTCACCCGTTGTGCAAGGTGGGTTACTCACAGATGCATGCATGCACGCAGTATACGTGCGCGCGTGCGCTCATGGCTTTGTACTACTGGCGAGGGTAGTTGTTGGTTCACTCAAACATCTTCATCTATTTTCCTTCTCTCTTGAATTTAACCCATCTGTTTGTCAGTTTTTATATTAACAGTGCTCGAATTATTCCCTTGATCCGTAAATACCTTTTCTGTAGATGCACAAAAGAGCCACGCTAATAGAAGCATTGAACCTATGAAAGCCCTATTTTCTTCTTGAGGCTCTTCAGTTACACTTGAAAGTGTTTATTTCTTTAAGCACCAATAGCAAAATGATTTAAGCGTTTGCTACTTTTGTGTTTTGTCGTACACACGGATTGCATGAGGCTCTGCTACTTGCCTATCCTGTCTCCGGTCCCCTGCTCTTTTGTGCACCAAGAATAAAGCTTCTTCCATGCACCTATGACTTGTAACTACTTCAAGGTGTGGTTTTAAAGATATAGCACTACTGGGAAGGGATGGAAGGGGATGTCTCTCGTCTAGCTTGTACGCTCATCAGTCGGAAATGGAAAGCATAGTTGACAAACTGGATTTGCTGACACGTGCTCTAGTCATCTAGTTTACCTATTTACATTACTGAATTTCAACTGATGCGCGTTTGGTAACCAGCTTCATTTTCCTCACTGATGTCACAATAATTTCAATCTATGTTACGTGCAAATTAGCCCTGTGAGTGGGGTTTTGAGAGGTAGCTTTTTTTAGTCTACGAAAGGAGTGGGGCGGGGAGGAGAGACCGCGATTAGATTCCAAGTCATTAATTTTTGTAGGCATTTGATTTTCCTGCTTCTTCTTGTAAAGGCTTCAACTCCAGAGCTTTGACAGTCTAAAATTTGTTACGGAAATGTGGAAAGGAACTTTTGCAGGTGCAAGATTGCCATCGTTTCGATATTTCTGATGTCAAATTTGCATATGCTAATGAACACAGATCGACAACATTAGGTGGTGGAGGCAAAAATTTGATGGTTGGTATACCTGTTTTTGGCTGGATCAAAGGAGTAGAGAAAACTGCTTGATTTACTTCCATTTGTCTGGCACCAAGATTTAACCCTATGTTGGAGCACACGAAAGTGACATTATTGACTGAAAAGGAAAGGCAAAATGTTGAATCTCTTCTTGCTCATAACAGCACTCCCAGACCTCCCTGAAGCCATAAAGAAGTACACTAAATAGAAAAGAACAGCTTGACATCGGGGTAGAGGAAGGCCTGGAAGACAAGGAACGCGGCCAGAAGGCCCAGCCTCCGGGATGGTGGAACGACTCTCATGGTCAAGCGATAATTGGCATATACGTCTGTTGATTGACATTTTACGGTTCCGTTTGTGAAGGCACCAGCTAAAGTCACCACCTTTTAAATGTGATTGCCGCCTCTGCAAAAAAATAACATCTTGAATAAATCCAAGAGAAGATGATAGTATTTTTTAGTGTTTTTGATTACGTATTCAGTGACCTGAAGAGGTCATGCGGTTTTCAACAGGGGTTGTTTTGATAACCCGTTTCTCGTAGAAACTTGCGCACAGCATAAGGTCTTATTGTCCGCTACCATTTCCTGCGCTTCTCGTTATTTTTTTAAACCTTGTTCACCAAAAACTACAAGTTGGTAGTTTTTCACTCCTTTCACATGGCTTATAGAATCGTGCCTAATTAAAGGATTGTTTGTCACCTCACCTGAGCGTTAAGCGAACGAAATCACCCAACACTTCTGATGCTAGCGTTACTTTATTCCCACATTTGTTAATAAGGACTGTAGGTGCAACTGTTTGCTGTTCGTGAGAAACAGCTAGGCGATCCGTATTTTGAAAGGAGAAAAGAGTTACTGTTCCACCCTCATGTTCCGTATTTCTTCTGACTGTGTTCCTTTAAGTGATGAATATTCCTTTCCTCTTGGTATTAGGCGATCACCCTCCAAGCTGAACGGCTGAATATAAAAGGGTCATAAAAACTAAGGTGCCAAGGCCTCGGTCGTTCGCTATTAGGGCAGAAATGTTGAATAATTGAGTCCAACAGAAATTCTTGCAGTTGCTTAGTTTTACATCACGGAAATCCATGACTGTCATTTCTGGAGTTTATGCGACCAACCTAAAACCATTATACTGACCATACTGGAACATAGATTTTTCAATTCGTCGGTATATCTAAATTTCCTTCAGAGATGATAATTTAGGTTTATGGGTGGGATGCAACTTCCCGACAGGTCATTGCATTTGGATATGAACTAAATGAATTTGAGTGGTGAAAAATACAAGTTTCTAAGATATTTGTGCCTATTTGAACCAGTTAGAAAAGAGGTATTTAGTAAAAAGGAATTTAACAACTTTTTGGAAATGTGGTTTATATGTAGCTTAACTTTATGTCTAAGGAATGTGGTACACATGGTCTACTGCTATTTCGGTCTCGAAATCATGAGAATGGAATGCGCCGACAACCAATGAAATTAGGAGAACGCCCACCACATTCTTTTGTGCACTGTTGGTATACTTTACGAATGAAGTAATAAATTTATTAAAGAAGCAGAAATTTCTTTTTAAAATGCAGCCCAGATGACATTTCTTTATGACATCCTGTGCCTTTGTCAGGGACATAGATACTACATCCACAACGCAATGAATGATTGCTCTATTGTTATTTTTTACCTAGGAAAGGGTTAATTAGCATAGTTTCCTAAATAGTTGAGGAGAGTTGGCTTTTTGACACAGTTCACAGAAGGTCGGCTCTACATTTTCTCCTATTTTTATTTCATCTGCTATTTAATTGAAAGATGAAAGCAGCCCAAACTAAATAACGAAACTAGGAAGAGAATTACATGAGCTGCCTAGAATTTGGTAACATTTTGAATGGTGGGCCCCGTCTTGGCACCTGTGGTCAAAATCGTTATCGATCGGAGTTCCCCGCTTAATTCCAAATGCCAAATTCACACGACAAGGCAGCTACTCGTTTGCCATCGATTTTATCGATTTTCAATAAAGATAACGGGTTTTAAGTGTGCAAAACTTATTCCTATTATAAAATGAATAGGGTGCTATCGTACAAAAATTCGATGAGAACAAGGTCATGCCTTAACCTCCACTTTTGTCAGTCGAAAGGATACGTGCCAATTTCAAAAATACTTAAAAACTATCTCCTTACTTTGGTTTATCCTGAACGGTATAAGGAAATTTAAAATTTGCCTAGCCTCATTGGAATGTGGCACACTTTGCCCACATCTTGCACGGAAAACTCCACAGTGGTGTATGTTTAGTTATCCACCAAATGGACAATGCTATACAGTTTATGAATGACGAAAAAAACATAAAATCCTTAAAAAAATAAAAAATTTTAACCTTACATTCCCTCTTCTATTTGAGTTTTGACAAATTATTTACCAAAATCTAAAAATCATTCCTTATTGTAATAACGCCTCTTGATTGATGGCCATTTTAAAACTTCAAGTAGAAAAAATGCAGTTCTTTTACCCATTATTTCATGGCACTCTCTTTTCACTTGGTCAAGAAATTTAATTACACTCTCTCTTCATTCCTGCCGATGCAAGCGGAATGTACTGATTTGCATATCCGTTGTCGCCTTGTCGACCAATGAGAGGGCAGGAGTGACGCGCAGCATTACGTGAAATGCTGACTACACACTAGCCAATCAGACTCCGCCTTCCCATTTGGGTGTGGTTTTAGGCACTTGCCCAAAATTAGCAACTTGAACAATTGTAAAACAAGTTGCGACGCTCTAAAGCGTCCGTTTTTCCCCTCAATACAATTGCCTAGTTTGAAGGTTGGGACGTAATTGTGATAAGATGGCAGCTTCCCATAGAGGAACGATGTCTCCCTCACAGTCTCTTCGGATAGCCACAGGACGAAGAAGATGGTGATGATGATAGGGAAGTGGATTCCATTAAATTGACTTATTGTTACAATGTTGGCGTTTTATTTATAAAGTTTGTTACACGGGTTCTTCAGCCTCCGTGACATAGTGGTGTTTTAATCCCTCTAACTATTGGCCATTGTTTGGGCGATGAAAGCTAATTCCCTCAAATTTTGAAACTGAAAAGTCCCCACTGGCTAACCAATAGGAACTTTAGTTATTGGCTGTTAAACTAACTTCTATTTAAGTAATAAAACATTGTTGCTATTACGATCAGGGTCAATCATGTAAACGATAGGGGAAATCGGTTACCTGGGTTATTAGCTGCCACCTTTACCTCTCTCCATTTGCTTTCTCCCCCAGTCTCGACCACTTAAAGGCAATCGGTATGCTGCCTTCAAATTTTCTTTCCGTTAGTAGATCCTCACCGGAGAAAGGGGTTGGGGAAAATTAGTAACCGGACAGCAGGCCTCCCTCGCCTCTTCGACACAGCAAATTTTTTCCCCTGACACACAGACGCGAAAAACAACATTTTAATGGTAGTCGGTAGGATACACGCGCTGTGTGATGCTACCCCAGAATGAGAATGTGCTTGTTTATGCCAGCTACCGAGACCTTTGCTTGCATGTCGGTGGAGTGACTGATCAAAGCACCTAACCCGGCAACTCAACCTAGAAAATGGCCTTCCACTCTGTGTTTGATGAGTGGATTGTTGTTGTCGCTGCGTCTCGATGACCCCTGCTTTTCTAGCCTTTATTTGACTTGTTTTTAGCTCCACGATTCCGCATCTCTTGTGCACAGAAGTGGAGGGGGAGGGACACCGCTAAGGTCAGAAATTCAGCCGACTGAAACTTAGTGGGATCGTATTTCCATGTCCCTAGGAGACACTGGGATTTGGCCAGCTTATTCTTCACAGATTGGAAGTAGACCGATGCACTGCTTACTGTGGACTGCGATTGTTGATGCACTTTCGTTCACCGCAGTCTGACGGCGGTCCCAAATTACGAACTTCGGTGACGCGGATTCCATTACAGAGGTTATGGCAGAGGAGGTGAGGTTTTTCAAATTTGAGGTTTACCTACTGTGATCCGCAAAGTGACACACCCACACAGGAAACCACCGATTTTGCAGTCCATTCAAATTTATTGATTTTCCTCCAGTTGCTGGAACCTAATGAAATCTTGCAGGACAAGTCCTCTATCTAATGGTTAAATCAAATCTAGTTTTCTTGATTTATGCCGTTTTTAACTTTTAAACTTAAAAAGTGGTGACTGGTATTATTTTCCAAAGTATTTTGTTTATTTAACTGGTAATATTCACGACTGGAAGACGGAATTTTTTACTGGCTACCAGACGTGCCTTGAGACTGGTGCAGTAACAGGGAGAGAGGGAGAGAGACGATTTTTTATGTCACGAAAATAAAGCAAAATCAAGTTTTATTCATGAGATGCTTTCAGCCCTCCCGGCTGATGTAGAGCGCGTAGCCGAGGCTCAAGGCCATTGGAAGGCCATCCAACAGGTGTCAACGCGAAATGAGGGGTCAATTCTAGTTAAAGGACTTATTTATTTACTTTGTTCCTCAACTGTACTTTAATTTCAATATAAAAGCGCTAATTACAACGGGGATGGAGAGAGGGAGCGAGGGATGGAGGGAAAGAGGGTGATTCCGATCTCGCACAGTATTTCTCGCATTCCTTCAGCGGTAAAAAAGAGGACCGTATATTCTTATTCCTCCACTTTTTGGGTAAACAGACTTGTGGTGGCGGCGGTGGATCAGCTGTCAATTTTTTTTACCCGAAACAGGTTAAAGTGAACTTTAGAAAGGCCGCTTAATTTAATTAAAAGGGGAAAACATTTTGAATTATTTGTAGCAAATCACTTTCGTTTAGTTTACAAAATCGGAATTCTTGAAAGTCAAAGTAATGCAATTATCTTGCTAGGATTTTATGTTTAGAAGCGAAAAATACTTGCAAGAGCTTTTCCAATTAGGCTAAATGGGAAGAATAATCATACGACCCAGCTGACTACTTGTTAATGAGATTAGTAGGGTTGCCTGTGAATTAAAATCGGAACTTAACGAATTTTACATAAAATTATGGCGCCTAAAAGATGTGAGAAGGCTTGCGATTCAGTCAAAGAAGTTACCAATGGACTGGATTACATGGGAGGTCTTTGTCGATAGATTTCGGTAGATAAAATCAGGTGGGATGACTTCTGCTTTTTTAATAAATCATTTATTAGTTTTTAACGTTTTTAGGATTTTTGCATTAATTTGGGGAACTTGTTAACACTTCTCCTTCCCATAAATCTTATGGCGAAGTTTAAAAAGGTGCATATTGAGGAAGATAAGGGGAAAAATTACTAGATGTCGCCCATGGTGTCTCCATAACTTCACCTCCAAGTTCCGTATGGACATCAACCGCCTCTTCTACCTTCCAGGTGTGCCTTTTTGATTAGCCGAGGCAATTTATTTGCATGACTGACTGCTCTTAGGGACGGTCCTCTCCTTTACTAGGAGGAATTAAGTGCGTCCAAGCGTGGACATAGATATAAGGTGTAAATGTCGCGAAGTCGGTAATTCGTTACTTGATCTTTTTTGGGTCTCTTGGTCTCTGTAGCTCCAGCACGCTATAAGTCAACCAAATATAATGTCAATATTAAACATGGGTGGCAGCATTGACACGTACTTAGAACAGGAAGACTGCTTTTCTCACCTTAAGGCACCAGTCTTTGGGGGAATTATCACTGGAACCAAATTTAACCATCCATCAATCCCGTATCCATCCATCTTCTAGTGGTTCCCCATCATAATCATGTTGGCCAAATCCTTTCTAAGCTGGACATTCTTCCACCGCATATCTCACCTCCACCAAAAGCAGGACGAAAATTTTGCCTCCAGGCTTTTACCTTATCTCCGGAAAAGAAATCAACCCAGCCCAATAACCAGACAGGCTCCCACCCAAACTGCCTCCTCCGAACTATAGTACACGGTGCGGGAGGTTGAATTAAAGGGGCAAGTGGTCGACTGGTGTGCGCATCAACGTTTTGTAGTCCAAAAAATTTATCTCCGGTACTTTATAAGTCATCGAGTGTCACCAGATGTCAATCTAGCAAGCTCCACCAATAATCGTACTAGCATTTTTGGTCATCCCATGCACCAGGACCTCCACTTCTGGGCCTGGACTGGCATCCATGTGGCGTCCGAGTTACCTTCGAAGGCGGTACGAAGGTCTGAACGGAAGGCGGCAA